GTGTTCCAACGGGTTGCGTACTATTGGTACTTACTACTAACTGTAAGTACTTCGAGTAGTAAACTACCGCTAGGCTAGGTATTATTAATAATACGAAGCCATAGAGCAACTCCAACGGTGTTTTTATTTCTATTTCAATTCGAAGTTACGGATATAGAATAGAAACTCTTGCTAGTATCCGGAGGGTGTGGTGCTATTTCACGAGAAAATAGAAATTCTGCGGAAATAGCAACCGTAAAAACGAAGTTTGACTTTAACCTACTAGTATTCTTTAGCAATAGATGCACTTAGTACGACCAAGTATGTACTACGTACTACTTACTACTTCGAAGTACGTACTATTAATAAGTACTACGTAGTACTAAGTCTTACTACGTAGTAAGACTTAGGGGGCAGCATTTAATATTAATACTGACCTTGGATACTATGGTTAATATAATATAATTGTTGAATTAAAAGCGTGAATGACATTGGGATGACATGGGATGAAATTAGATGAAGTAACCTTAAGTAGTGACCAAGCCTTACGTTGGCCCCGAGCGCCCGGGAGGCCGTCTGCGCAAGCGCGGCCGTACGAGAGTGTGGATCTAAGTTTGGATGACACATGATACTATCATGGATATTTGAAATCCATGTAAATAATTAGTAGTATCGTTGTAGTATAGAAGTTGCCCCCCCAAAAGCGTACCACTGTTATTAACATTAACACTGTACACAATCAAAGCACGACAACCATACATTTACGTCGACTGGACGTTTAGGTAATATTCTCATCTTGGTCGTCGCGCACGAAGAGAGTGTCCACGATGATGTTTAACGAATAATCTTTCTCTATATAATGTTGATTTTGGTGGTTTTTATACTTTGTATTTACAGTTAATAGCTTTTTTAGCTATTGCTAAATTTCATTTTTTTAATACTTGTTAATACTTTTCATCTTTTTTTTTTTGTTTTATCATGTGTGTCCATCCCCACTGACTGATAACGTCCATATCGTGGGGGTTCTGCATTCATCGTGGTGCATCCATCACTCTCCATTGGTCTATCTAAAAATACTTGTCGCTGATTGGCTATAATCAATTTTTGCCGTCGATAAGAGCCAATCCGATGATTTGGCGGCGTTGACGAATGTTGGGAATTGGAAGTAAACCGACCATGCTATGTTGTACTTGTTGGTTTTCTTGTGTACCCGATTCCATCACTCTGCTTTTGAATCCGGGCTTTCCAGTCTACTATTGTAATAGTATCAATCATCCATACATATTCGCTATCTCGATTTTCATATGGTCGTAGCCCACGCGAGCCGCTCCAACGCTTTTGGCAGCATGTTTTCTGCTTCAAATTGGTCAAGCGTGCGTTTTAAATCGTGCATCACCACCGAAAACTCGTCGTCGTGGCCGATCTGCCACATATCCATGGACGACGTTGGTTTCTCACACATGCCAATATCGCTGTGTTGTGGAGACGCCAGTTGCTGTAGCACTTGCTTCTGGGCATCCGAACAACTCAACGTCATCGACCTTGTGTGGGGGCTGCTGCACGTGCTGCTCATGTGACTTGAGCGCTCCGAGTCTACGGACAATATATATATATATAAAAATTGTGAATTCGCTAGAACAACTGGCAAAAAACACACAATTTCGCGTGGTTTGTTTCATCAATATTTTGCATATATATCTCGCTAGAGTTTGGATGCCAATCAAAAATCCACTCAAAAATGGAGTAGCCGTCGATTCGTGAATCGATATTCAGTATTCGATGGCGGCAGAGATTCGATTCGACGGGGTCTGGAAATTTGTGTACCGAATCCAAAATATTTTATTTATCTATCTATATTCTCATGTATACATGTATATATATATTCAACCTAGAACGTCGTATTCAATGAATTATATAGTATACCTTTGGGGCAAAAACATTGCAAACACACAAACGCGGCAGTGTCGACACCCCATACACGACCGCAGCTTGCACACACGTCCTACATTCGTCATCACCGTTAGTGATCGTATAGTTGCATAGGTACAAAGCAGCATATAAATGCGGACTACGAATATATATATAAGTTCATAGGTATATATAAATTCATATATATATAAGTTCATAGGTATATATAAATTCATATATATATAAGTTCATAGGTATATATAAATTCATATATATATAAG